AAAATAGTTCATCAATAAATCTTGGTACGTAACTTCTTTCCCGTAAAATCACTAATAAAATGAGATGTAGCTCCACTATATAATATAAATGGGAATATCTAAATAATATACTAATTAATTAATGACAAAAAAACAATAACTAAAATAAATTATTAAAGGAGTCCCTTTAGGCAAGGTTCCGAAGATACTGGCAGCTTTGAATAGCTTTTACTAATTCTTTGTCCGAGGTAGCTGCCAGCTCTTCGGTCTCGTGTGATGTCGACTAACCTTTTTGCTATTTCCTTAAAAAAATTTAATATAATAATAAATTGTAAAACATTAAATTTCTCAACGTTGCGACCGTGATGTAACATTGTGCACTTGAAACAAAATTGACGATGCGATGACGCGTTTCACATACGTCATCGTGACAAATGACTCAATGTGCATTGTCAAATATTTGGTAAGTTGCTTCCGGTGAATGTAATTTTAAGACTAAATCGCGTTATCGTTGTTACTATTGTTGTTTTATTTACGATAATTATTATAACCAAAATAAAATTTACAATTGCGATAGGAGTGAAAATGACAACATTTTATACTTTATAAGGAAGTTAGTTATTCGTGTACTAAGTTTAAAGGTCTAAATATGCGTTTAATGCTTATTTATCATAGTTCAGCAGCTGCAATAACAAAATAGGGCACAAATCCTTATTAGTTACAAATAATTATCAACTATGGTAAGTGCCATAGATATCGCACAATATGCGTTGTTTTAACCACAGATAATACCGCAAATGTAGCGCATGATATACCGCGAAACTACCACACAATTTGTGTGAATTGATGCTCGTTTCCTGCTACGGTTGGGCTGCAAGAACTGGTTTAAAGTTAACATGACGTGTCGGGCATGCGTGAGTTCGGTGAACCCTTGGATAATCCCAGAACTGAGAAAATAAACTCCGATTAACTCTTAAGTGGAGCAAATCAACTGGAAAATTTCGTATCACCTTCTTGAATTTCATTAATTACCTTAACATGTGCACGTTACATTATCCTTGAGAAATAAATGCAATATTTATAAAAATAATGCCTAACAAAGGAATAAATACACGTTTGATACTTTGTCAGAATTTATTTTTAATCTATGCAATGGATTTTCTTGAATTTTAAAAAACTTTTAATGTTTTAAAAGAAACGTAGTAGAAAAATTAATAACAATAAATCTCGTGTCACAGTTTTCGTTGCCATAATCCTCCAAAACGGCTCGACCGATTCTCATGAAATTTTGTGTGCATATTGGGTATGTCTGAGAATCGGACAACATCTATTTTTCATCCCCCTAAATGTGAAGGGTAGTCCACCCCTAAATATTTTTTTTTTATTTTTAGATATTTTTTCGGTTTTTATTTTTTATGATACAGCATTAAAAATACATACAAACCCCCTAACTTTCACCCCTCTACGATCAACCCCTATTTTTTTATTAGAAATGGTATATATGGCAAAACGACGTTTGCCCGGTCAGCTAGTAAATAACAATAAATCTTTCACTGATACAAATTATAACGGTAATGTAAACCAAAAATCGATTAAAAAGATTTTAGTGTCGCCATTAATGACAATTGACATTAATACAATGTAATTAACACAAATAATCTTCAGTCGATTTTAGCATTTAGCATTTAGAGTTAACCTTACTTTCTTTGTACCTTGGTTTCCGTTTTTTGGCAAGATTTAGACCTCTAGAATACATGACAATTATGGCTAAAAATAATAATATTACACTAGATTATTTATTTTAGTTTATTACCAGTTCTTCTCTTCTGTTCTACGCCCTTGATTTAAGAATGGCAGTAAATGTAAAATTTGAAGCATTTAATGTATATTTCTTTTTTGACGTTCATAAGTGTACATTGTGTTACCTACATGAATAAATGATTTTTGACTTTTGAAATTACTAGCAAAACCGGGGATTAGATATGAGATAGGCACGTAACATTTTTTTAAATAGCCCACTACCGTATATTAAACTCTGGATTATAATTGTAATTAAATTAACAAAGTGTTTGAAATGCGATTTATTTGTAAAGTTTAAAAATAAAACTCTGGCATTGCGGAGCTATTCAAGAGTCATCGAACTTGTAACGCTATTTTCTTTGGTATCAATATCCAAATGTTTTTCAAGACTTAAAACCCAAAGGAAGGAGGTCAGTATGGTTCTTTAGGGAAAATTACCTTACGGATAGACCATAGACTTCATGGACGAGAGACGAGAATTCCTGTGGAAGACCAGGTATCGAGGTGGTGTTTTATTTTAAGCAAACTAATACGACTGGGTTCAGAATCGAGATTAAGCGATTATATGTAAAAAATTTATACGTTTTTGACATACCGCACTGTCTATTTTTTTCTGTGTAAAGTTTGACATATTTGACAGCGCTCAAATTACATTCAAATTAGAATAAGGACCTGAGCGCTAAGTCTCTACTCTGAGTATCTTTTAGAGTTCAAGACTGATTATTTAAAGGCCGGTAACGCACTCGCGTGCCGCACTCGCGTCTAAAGGTGAGTCTCTGTCCATTTCGCTTTACAATTCGTCAATTTTACATGTAAAAGCACTTGTGGTATGTAAATAATATACCCATGAAAATCCGTTAAACTTTTATTTAAATACTACGAATTTGCATTCACTACGAGCAATTACGTTTATGTGTTAGCTCTGCCCACGTTATCTGGCGTATAGACAAGGTTAACATACACACGCGTGGGTATTATTATGAAATATTTGGCTCAGTGTCTTGGGAATTATTTGTACGTAGAAATGGGCTATCCAAAGAGACGTGGTTGTCTATACAACATTCATAAAGAATAGTATTTATACTTAGTTTGCAAGGACAAGGGCAGATAAAACCAACTATTTTTTAAATTTCGAATGTTATTAACTTAGAGAACGACTATTATTAAAAACACTATTCCGGAACTGCGCAAAAGATTTAAAAAGAGAACTGCGAAGTGTTCTAGTAAACAAGTGACGTAATTAATAATCTGTGGTCGAACACAACATAGATAAGTGTATTTTAGGCGGCAAATGTTTAGAATGAAATTCAAATAAACCGTCTCAATCCGTCCGATTTGGACGGTTGTATTACAATCATGAATAAATTATAAATTATCATAAGACATACCTTGTATGAATTAGCCGACTCGTAGAACCTGTCAAATGGCCCCTTTGTCTATGACATTCGAGTCCAGGAATCCCATTCAAATTAATATTTTAACAGTTTCCACAGATTAAATATTAAATTGCAAAACTGACACAATAGCGTTGCATAATGCAAGCGCAGTGCTGCACCTTGACATTGTACGACAAGCCGGCCACGTGTATCGTTAATCATATGTACTTTGTTATATAATGTTATTACGCGCGTACTTTCTAGTACATAAGCGAATTTTATTGATTTTAAACTATTTTGTATGTCATTGATCTCCTACACCCCATTGTATGACCTTGAAATGTCAAATTCATAGTTTATTTAATATCAAACACAAAGAAACGTCAGAAAGTAAGTTGTGAAATTTTGTGTTATTTTCAAGATGGTCAAAAGACTAATTTTGACACAGGTAGTGTTTCATGATTATATCAAGACAAAATATTGTTGTTGACAATTGACAATCATACATTGTATACGATTTTTATATAGCAACCCTGAGAATATTACGTTTTTAATATTCCTACCTGACTTTACCATTCCCGGTTGCCTTGTCTTGTTAACTCCTTCTCATTTATAAAAAAAATCTATATCAATAAAAAATAATCGAAAATACTTTGCTGGACCAATTCGAGTTTTATTTATTAGTCCTTGATTTCTGACAAAGGTTTTAATAGACAGAAAATTAGAAAATAATAACCAAATAATGTAGTGGGGTAGCATAGCAAAATGGACTATAAAGGTAGTTAAAAGAACAAAGGCGAAACGCGGATATACAAATATACTATAATCTAAGTACAATATACATAATGTGGATAAGTATATAATTTTGACATATATAGAAATAAACTTGCGCGAATGAGGAAAAGGAATATGGCGATGGCCTCTATGGAGTGAAAGTTATGCAAGGCCGACATGCCAGTTAATTCATACAAAACATCTGTGCTATAATCGTTTATCTGTATATCATTTTGACAGCACAGATTAAATTAAATGTAAAAGTCAATGTCAAAATTAATGAATAGAAAAAATAAATTTAAAAAGTTTGGTCCCTGTGGCACCTTTAATGGCAGTTCGCTGTATTGCGATGCTTATTCGTTGAGCGAAAGCACCAGCTCTGGGGTCACCGGTACTTACAGTTAAGTATATAACTGTTAACATTATATATACAAACTTTTACATATATTTGTGTCAATATGAAACATGAGCAGTGATTCGTGGACGAGTTTTCGAACTAAATAACGAATGTAAGAACAGAATTCGTGTATACAGTTTACTATACGAATACGATTCTGTTTTCAGTTCCAAATACGCCCAAAGCTGGTCATTTATTATTCTTTTATTGATTTTTGAGAACTTCAGATAAATATATACGCGACATAGATTGAAGAACGTGTTAGAAACTTCGTTATAATCCTTACCAATAATACAATTAATTATATTAATGCCCACGATTTCCTCAGCGTAGATAACCTGGGAACGAAATAAAAATCACTTAGCTATGACCTACCTATCATATATATATATATGTAAGTACGCCTAACGTTATAGGAAATACATAAAACTAAGTAATCGAATTGAATTCGTATTTTAGACTATGCACTAAGTATCGTGAACTCGAATAGTTAACGTTAACTTTCGTTTACGTTAAGTTCCAAATGCGCCCATTTAGTTTTTTATTACGTTAAATATTCGATATTGCCTGTCACATTTACAAGTTTAATTAATGATTTTACGGTATATATAAACGTACTACATTAACGTAACGCAAGTTAGCTAAGAGACGTTTATAAGTAATATTATACATACCCTTTTCTTGCGTGGATGATGATCTTCATAGTCCATAGCAATGCCTTCGTCGCTGAATGAGGAGGAGACAGGAGGCGGTGATGGAGTACCAGAGCGCCATGATGAACCGGAGCTGCTGCTTGCACCAGGAGACACTGATGACCGACCGCCCCATGCGCCTGTGTGATTTATTTCTGACATTAAACAGAGAAAACTTACACCAAGTAGAAGAGAGTCTTATCGTAGCCACATCTTCTTTATTTAAGTTCTTTCTCTGCCTTGGGTAGGGCTGTACAGGAACAGCATAGTCGGGAAATGCTGCCAGTGTTAAAGGTGCACTGGCACAGGGACCAAACTTTTGAAATTTGTTTTGATTTGCTATTTATTCATTTTTAATTATTATTATTATTACTATGTAGGTTAAGAAAATTGTAAGAATATAAATTAAATTAAATAAAAATTAACCTAAAAAAATGATGCAATAAAAAAAGAAAAAGGATTTATTATTATTCTTAAACGGAACAACAAAGAGGTTTTAATTGAGTTCATTCAATGCTTTATCTATTCTTTATTTAAATATATGTAACAAAGAAAAAACCTTTAGACATTCTACATTAATAAATAAATGTCGGTAAAAATATTTTTTACTATTTAAACAGGATACGTAGAAAAGTTATTATATCCAGAAATAACTACACTTTCACTTGTAAGTTCTATTGCTAAGATGAACAGTTAAATTTTACGTTCCATAATTACATTAATTAGTAAGCCATTGCAACTGCTTTAGTGCTTCCGTTTTATTATTTTAAATCATAACAGTCAGCTGTCAAAAGTGAATTGTCAAGTTCTCTCTGACAAGGTCTCATTGACAATCATGTCACTTGTCAGTCTAGACTTCGATAAAACAGATTAAGGACTTCAGATGTAATTTTACAGATAATTTATTGTAATTTACGTAGCAACGGTAAAAAGTGATTCACTAAAAAATATATAAGATCCAGTCCAGCAGGAGGGCACACCTCGCCCATGCGTTGCCGGCCTTATAGAAAGGTATCCTCTTTTCTTGGAGGACCGTAAGTCAAATTGGTTGCGAGAGCGGCACATTTGTCTTTAAAACGCGCTCCCGGAATGATGACATACAATGGGACTTAGAGACAGGATTACAGGAGTATATTATGTCAAATTTCATCATCTCTAGTATTATTACTGGATCAGTCTCACTTGAATAGTATTAAACACCGAATACCTGTCTAGACAAAGTCTAGACTCATGTCTAGACTCGTATTCTTACCTAAATCAGATGTAATATTAAATTTAGATTATTCTTTTCAATGAAAGTGGATATATAAAGTGGGCGTGTTCATGAACCAATACATTATGCAAAGTAACAGTACTTTAGGGAAGCAAAAACTTGAAATCTATATACAATAATAAAATATATATAATATAAACAAGCTTTAAGAAGTTATATTAGAGACATAACACAAGTTGGCCTAGGTGATCCTTGGCTGTGCACCAATGGACTACTATGTGTGCTTTCAACACTCGCTCGTACGAACGAAACCCTCGTGAAGAAACCATGCCTTAGACACAATAAGTGAACATCTGTCAGGCACAGCAGGCTGTATATCTACGTACTTGGTCGTGGTGAATTTGGTGAGCAGCTCAGAGACATCAGCACCAAGGCTGCATTGCATTCATTCATCTGATCGTCGCGTTCTCCATAGCCAAGGTCGTATGAGCTGCTGGGGCCACGTTTGCGAGACCTGAAACAAAATTTGTATTAATAACTTGGCTTAGCCTAAAGAAGATTCCACGCGGAGTTATGCAACGCACAGGTCCTTCGATTCTCGTCACTTATGCTTCCTGTTGGTAGACAGTAGACTATTGTATTGGAATCAGTCGCTTGTTCCATTGGAAGTACACGGGTCTTCCGTCTATTATAACCTGAATTTTTTGCCGCTCCACCGTTATGTGGAAGCAGCTGCCCACTGAAGTATAGTTCTTCAAGAGGAGAACGTACCAATTCATAAAAGACCAGCAACCCAAACGCTCTGGTATTAAGACGTGTCCGTGGGCGGCGATTATTCAACATCAGCATCCTGCCCGATTGCCCCGTGTAAAAAAAATATTCATTGTATCTCATGACGTTTTCATCAGCTACCCAAATACATATAAAACGGAATAACCAAAATTTCAGTTAATATTTATGGCAGAGTTTATAAAACATTACCTAAAAGGGATAATCAAAGCAAAAAAATCTTCCCGAACAATCCCGAATCATTGAACTCTGCAAAGTTCAATTGCCGATTGTGCCCCGTCTGGGTCTATTCGGTTTTGGATATTGCGTAAGTTCGAACGTCTGGCCGATAACCTCTTGTCTGAGGTCGTAGACTTACAAGTGTAGGTCATGAAAACTCTAGTCTATACGCAATAAAACCTACATGGAAGGTAGCCTTTTCGTAAATTAAAATTCAATCTCAAGTTCCATATTTGAATTATGTTTAATATTCAGACCGGAAGTAGATTACAATTTTTGTTTATTTCCACTCCTTCGTCTGTGGATGTTTGAGTTGTACAAAATCCATTAAAAAGAAATGCGAATCAATTTGACACTTCGATGTAGGTTCAGACGTAGCTATGGTTGAACATAGACAAAAATACACACCGAATCGTTAAAAAAAAAGTAAAAATAGAAAATAATCTATGATCATTTTTGACGTACAAAGTATATAATTAAGTTTATGCTACATTTGGCGCTTGAATACAATTTACGCAGATAAAAATCAGAACGATTACACTGCAATACAATATTGCAGATAACCTTTTTCTACCTTTTGTTTTGACTGATAAGACGAACATTGCATTCGATATTTGAGGTCATTGTTGTTGTGCATTGAACCATATTTTAACATAATATGATAAATGACGTCATACTATCGTACAAAACATGTTATTGTATGTTATCAAAAACAACTTTAAAAACTCACAACGCAGTTTTCTACCGTAGTAAGTTGTGAGATCCATGTAACTCAAATCGGTTAATTTAAAGGACGTTCTGTCTTAAGATATTACGTAATTAGCTAACTTAGCAACATATACAGACCATATCATTATTAAGTACTATGTTTTAAGTAAATATATTGATTAATTGCACTACATAATATATTTTAATAGATGTATGAGTAGGTACATGTCCATTTAAAGAACAGTGTTGGCCTATCGGCTTCAGCGTGCGACTCTCATACCTAAGGTCGTAGGTTCGATCCCCGGCTGTGCACCAATGGACTTTCTTTCTATGTGCGCATTTAACATTCCCACGGTGAAGGATACATCGTGAGGAAACCGACATGTCTTAAGACCCAAAAAGTCGACGGCGTGTGTCAGGCCCTGGAGGCCGATCATCTACTTGCCTATTTGATTTAAAAATGATCATGAAACAGATTCAGAAATCTGAGGCCAAGACCTAAAGATGTTGTAGCGCCACTGATTTATATAACATGTGCATTTAAAACATAAAAGATTTTTAATATCAAATATTTTAGCTCCTTGATACTATACCGTAATTGTATTCGTGAAGCATCTGTCTGCTAGAGTGGGATCAGTCACTGAATTACCAAATCAAGAAACTTAGACTCGTTATAATTCTTAATCAGGGGTCAAAATTGAATTGTTTGGAGAAAACCTTTACTATTTACCACTACTATTTATTCAATCAGAATTCCAAATTATTTGAAAACATTAACAAAATTTACATGCTTTATAAAACGAAATTTATTCGCGTTCCGTCTATTTTATATTTATACTAAATTTATGTCTGTGTGTAGGTTCATTGACACACAGATTACTGCATATAGAGAATAGTGACCGTAGAGGTTTTATTTATAGATGTAGGCTTCTACTGGAAAAACAACAATCCATTTATACCGGCTTTGTATAAAAATACCAGTCTTCTGTTTAAACTAAAACATTGAAAGAAACAAGGGGTAGCCATACGAGTCATCATTTAATTCTAATCTTAATTTAAAGCCAGATTCGTCTTAAGCCTTTTAATAGTTAGCTATTTAATAGTAAAAGCTAGCTATTTAATAGTTGTGTTCCGATGTTCACTTCTTTATTTTTGGAAATAAATACAGCCTATTTTACTAAAGGACAAAGCTTTGTATTAATGAAATAATTTATAAAATCATTCCCATAAAAAAAATCAATGGTGCTACCTTTTTAGGTCTGGGCCTCAGATTTCTGTATCTGTTTTATGATCATTTGTTAATCTAATAGGCAAGTAGGTGTTCACTTTTTAGGTCTAAGACAAGCCGGTTTCCTCACGATGTTTTCTTTCACCGTTCGAGCGAATGTTAAATGCGCCAAAAAGAAAGTTCATTGGTGCACAGCCCGGGATCGAACCTACGACCTCAGGGATGAGAGACACTGAAACCAACACTGCTCAAAAAATCATAGCCCTTGCGTTTATTCAAAGAATACATCTTTATATTATCGATTTAAACTGCAGGGGTATAAAGTCATAAATGGACTACACAAAATAAAGAATCAATACGTCCTTTAATAAAAAAGGTCCCATACCCCAATACTCTACAAAAAACAAGCCTGAGAGTACTATTATTATGTTCAAGATCGGCTAGCGACCTGTGGAAGGTCGTTCGTGGGGTGAACACTCTCAGGGTGCGCAGGTCGTTTATATATTTGTGCTTGAATTAAGGTTTTATGATAAATAAAATTCCTCTTGATAATTAAAACAAAATCCGCGGCAAATAAATGTGAGCGATCGTCGCCATGTTTTTTCATGCCCCATTTGGTTCAGGGAACTTTTATTTTAAGATTTTAATTGAAGTTGGCGCGTGGTAGATGGTACCGGTGACTCCAGAGCTGGTGCTTTCCTCGCTCAACGAATAAGTATCGCAATACAGCGAGGAAATGCTGCCAGCGTTAAAGGCCACAGGGACCAAACTTTTGAATTTACTTTAATTGTCTATTTAACAATTTTTAATTATTATTATTACTATGAAGTATATAGTATTTACAATTTTCTTAACCTACAAAGTAATAATAGAAAAAATTATTAATAATTACAATTTGACGGCTCATTGGTCTAGTGGTTAGTACCCCTGACTGCGAATCCATGGGTCCCGGGTTCGATCCCCGGCTGAGACAAACATCGATGTGATGAGGATTTGGTGTTGTGCTTAGGTCTTGGGTGTTTAAATGTATTTATATGTCTATCTATCTATAATATGTATGTATATCCGTTGCCTAGTACCCATAACACAAGCTTCACCAGCTTAGCATGGGACTAGGTCAATTGGTGTGAATTGTCCAATCATAAAAAAAAATGAAAATCAAAACAAATTTAAGAAGTAGGTAATAACAATAATTTTAATTTTATTACTATGTAGATTAAGAATATTGTAAAGACTGTATATTTGTGTGTTGGAAATATATATACATACATATATCGTTATTTAAATATACGGTAATTATCACTATGGAGTAACATTATGAGAGAATCGTTCCACCGAAATTCTTGATATATGACCGTGTTTCGGCGAATATATTTAACTATGATGTAATGTCCCTTTAACTGAAGACACTTAAAATAGATTTCACGTTGGCGATCATCTCATATAACGCGAGGAAACGATTCTAAAATGAAGTTAGAAAAATATGTGTAAATGAAAAAACTGGTTCCCATCTTCTCGAACTGATACCTTAATGTTCCTGCCAGATCTCTGCGCTCGCACAGAACTTTTAACCTTCCGACTTCCAGAACATTGGGTTCCGTGAGCCTCTTCACAGGATGTGTTTTCCACCTTGGATTCTGTCACTAACATCGACCCTTTTTCGCACTGCTTCATTTAAGAATAAGTTAAAACTCTTAATGTCTAAGCCTTGTATCTTCCTTGTTTTTTTTATAGCTGCTAGTTTTGTGTTAAATTTTGTGCTGTCATGTTTTTTCTTGTTTTACTTTGTATTATATTTTTTATTAGTGAAACTTTTTTTGTGGATATGTCCCATATGTCTATTTATTTTATGTTTTACATTTATTTTATTTTTTCTGTATAGAGATGTATCTGTTTAGTTTCCTGAATTAGTAAATAAATAAGTAAACCCAAATAATTTCTTCATAGATACTCCAAGCGTCTGGAGTGAGTTCCACCCCATTCTAGTGATGATGAATCTTGATACAATTAAAAGCAAATATTTATAAAGTGTTATAAGGCGATTATTTATGGACAAAACGAGCCATGGAAAGGAGAAAGAGCCCTTACACAAGCCACCTTGAGCCGATATGGGCCTGGTTTCTGAATCTGTTTCATGATCATTTTTAAATCTAATAGGCAAGTAGGTGATCAGCCTCCAGTGACACACGCCGTCGACTTTTTTGGTCTAAGACATGTCGGTTTCCTCACAATGTTCCCTTTCACCGTTCGAGCGAATGATAAATGCCCACATAGAAAGAAAGTCCATTGGTGCACAGCCGGGTCTCGAACCTACGACCTTAGGTATGAGAGTCGCACGCTGAAGCCACTAGGCCAACACTGCTCTTTAAATGGACATGTACTCATTATACATATATTAAAATATATTGTGTAGTGCAATTCATCAATATATTTACTTAAAACATGAAAGGAGAAAGAGCCCATATCGGCTCAAGGTGGCTTGTGTAAGGGAAATGGCATTCTTAACTGAAACTTATAATTTAATATACATATATGTATTAATAACAAAATGTTTGTATTTTTTCTATAATCATATTGTTTATATAAGTAGGAAAAAGGCTAGAACAGGAGGCAAACGGGCAGGAGGCTCACCTGATGTTAAGTGATACACACACTCATCATGGACACTCACTGCCAGAAGACTCGCAAATTCAAAGGTGCCATTTTATTTGACTTGACTTGACTCGCAAGTTCCGGCCTTTTAATAATTTGTACGCTCTTTGAATGACCCTAAGTCGTTTAGGAAATACTTCACTGGGCAGCTGGTTCCACACGGTGCGCGGCAGAAACTTATAAGCTCAGTTGTGGAACGACGGGCATCGAGGTGATACGGGAAATATGTATATTAGCTGTGTTGCATTATTGTATTAAATAAATCTCAGTATAAAAACATCTTACGACCTCGGAAGCAAGGTTTTATTATGTTCGCCGGTTGCCGGCCGGCAGCTGTACATACCTCGTGACGTGGCTCCCACGTAACATTGAAATCGACCTTGCAGCCTGTTGCCGAGTTAACGCTTTCATATCTCATTAGAACAATTATGACGTGTATGAAATGTAATTACAACCCTTTAACAAACTAAATCAATGCAGAATAGATTGATGAAATAACACTGAAGTATTTGCGAACCAATTCGACTTAGGGTCCTTCAAGAAACCGTACCAATTCTTGAAAGGCCGGCAACGCACTTGCGAGCCTTTTGGCTGTGTGAGTGTCCATGGGCGGCGGCTTCACTTAACATCTGGTGAGCCTCCAGCTCATTTGCCCCCAACACACATGGAATTTTTGACAATTAAAACAATTGAATTTGACATCACGAGACGTGATTCATCTCGATAATGTCAGTGCGAAAGTTAGGAATACCATGCGGACACGTAATGCCTGTACAGTGGAAATTTAAGGGAATGTAGAGAAGCAGCAGCAGTATGGTCATCGCAGCCTCAATCATCATAGATATGTGTAGACAACTCACTCATATGGAATCATCAACATATGGAAAGGATCCTGGGGAAGAAGGAGAAGAGGGCGCCCTCAACGTGGATAGAAGATAAGAAGCGTGGAAGCGAATGGAGAAAGCCATGCTTTGAGGTTTGAGGCTTTGAGGCTTATACCCGTGAAGGGGTTCCGATCCATGTTACTTATGGATGAGTGTGAGAGTGAGGATATCGAGTAACAAGGAAGAAAAAATAATCAGTATATTCAACATTTGTAAAGATTGAAAATAAGCGTGTTTTGTTACTAAGCCAATAAAAAAAAAATTCGTAAAGCGCATTTATTTATTATTTTTCGCGCGTAATAACAATGCTGTCATCGCGTTCCTTACGTAATCTGTTGTGCGAATTGCGATAAAAATACTGACATCATAGATCTAGTGTTCGCAAAAAACGATATTTCGTCGGCGTTATTCAAATGGAGACTAGTTGAGGAAGGTCATGTGGTTTTAGCGGCAGTCTAGATTATAAATAGGTATTTTTTGTTACACAGATTATATCTAAATTTTTCAAGCGATATGTAATCAGAGTTGTTCGGATTAAAGCAGCTGAGTTTCTCAGTCGCACCGCGGTATGCGCAATGCATTTCCCCAAGTAAAAAAAAAGGGTGCGTGTACTTATGTACGCGCGTAAGAAGTTATACTTCTTTGGAATTATTAAAAATAGTTTTTGATTGCATGCAAATAATTAATTACAATTAAATAATCAAAGACTGGAAAAGGAGTCATTATAGTCAATAAAGTTCAGTTTACATTTGAACAATTAAATAAATAAATATTTATTATTATTCTCTTACATTAAGTGTAACATAAATTATATTATTATTTGAATGTTGTTTTTAAATTATGTCCAATTCCGTAGCATCTTCCGTGGGCAACTTCATTCTGTTAATTTTGTGTCACGGTGCAAGCGCATCGTAAAATTTCACTCTCATAAATTTTTCATAACGCGCCTAAAGAAGTATAACTTCAAAAAAAGCTGAGTTTCTTTTTTTTCATCGGACGTCGTGGCAGAAATTTCACCAGTATCACCTCGACGTCCGTCGTTCCAGAACTAAGCGTTTTTTTTTAAGTTTTTGCCGCGCACCACCACTATGTGGAACCAGCTGCCCACTGAAGTATTTCCGAACCAATTCAACTTAGGGTCAAGAAAAGAGCGTACCAATTCTTGAAAGGCCGGCAACACTCGCGAGCCCTCTGTCATGTCCATGGGCGGCGGTATCAATTAAAATCAGATGAGCCTCCTGCCCGTTGGCCTATAAAAAAAAGCAAAAATAGTAATAATTTGTACTGTTTGTAATTAATAAAAATATATTAATTATAATTTAAGTGTTTTTGAGCCTATACTAAAACATTATGTGGAAATCAGAACGTAACAATGAAAAATCACGTTTATTGTTAAAAAAATAATAAATTCATAGTATAGGTATGTATGTAATTCTAAATAATCTAATTAGCAGGGTTGCGTCATATTATACATTGTAATAGAGAAACGAATATTAATCCTATTAAGGCTATTTTTAATTTAATCCAACAATTCAGAGCGTATGTCAATCGAAACATCTAGCTACGAACATTATTTTATTAAGACAGACAATATCGGGACTCCCCCTTAACTTCAGTGTCCTAAGAATCAAAAAGATTGACAAAATACGAAGTGACCGGAGTGAAAACTAGGATCACAGACGCGCAGTCACGCTTTTCAGCTGAAATGGAAATTGACAGGCCATATTGCAGGGCAAAAGACGGAAGAGAAAGAAACGTGGAAATACCGCAAAAGCGATGAGCTGAAGATTATTAAGGTTTATGGGAAGACTTGGATAGAGGAAGGACAAAAGAAAGTTTAGGAGCAGTCCTTTCCCATAAAGGGGTCTATACTGAACACGAAGTATTAGAAATAACAATAACTAAGGTAGACTAAGTGTATAATAACTAAATATTTGTAATTTTTATAGTATAGAATTAAAGTGGTTTAGTTATTATTATTATATAAATAAATAAACTGTTATATTTAATTGTTTGGCTTGAAAATTCCAAATTAAACTTAATTTAAAGGCGCCAAAACGCTCTCGCAAAATGGCGTCGATGCTTGTCAACACGTAAAATGTCAAAATTTTCAATTGTCATTCTTAAATAACGCAAGAGATTATCAGAATTAGATAGAACATATTGTTTTCGAGTGTAAAAATATTTAGTTATTGATTTTTTGACAAATTAATGATTACAAGTTTAAAGCCGTGTGTTAAACAGATTGAGCAGTGTTCGCCTAGTGGCTTCATGATCTTCAGCTGTGCACCAATGGACTTTCTTTCTATGTGCGCATTTAACATTCGCTCGAACGGTGAAGGAAAACATCGTGAGGAAACCGGCTTGCCTTAGAGCCAAAAACGCGACCGACATAGGAGGCCGATCCTACTTGCCTATTAGATTGACAAATGATCATGAAACAGATATACTGATTTATTTATTATTAAACAGATTAGTAGGTTATTTTTCATTTCATTAAATAGCTTATTTAGGTAATAACCAGCCACAATCATCTTTTGACAGAACTAATTTTACTCTTGTCAAGTACGTCAAAATCACTATTTAAATATAGATTTTCGTGTGACATTCGTACTATTGTCCGGGCATAGAGGGTACAGCGACCTTCTATAATACATCAACCTGTAGCAACTACCGGTTAGATATGAATGATTTAAGGCTTTTAATGCAGTACTCAGAGTTGTTCATTAGTTTATCTGTGATTAGTAGCTGAGCTGTGTTACACCTTAGCGAAATCAGCGCTAATTATGAGAGAATTACACAAACACTTAATATTGAAATTTGTAGGGCAAAATTATTTCGTAGTAGTTTTTTAATATAATTATTTAAATCACTCCCCTTTTCTGTATCTGTCAAATTTATACCCTGTGATTAGTGACAAATGACATAGAGTTTGGCTAAAACGGTGCAATCAGGTTAATTTAGCTTTTATGAGGGCTATTATTCTTTTAGACTTGACTTAATGGACAAATGTGAGTGCACTAAAATGAGGTAGAAATATTAAAAATTCGCGCGTAAATAATTTGTTAATGAGTTATAACTCATTAGGGTAGTGACTTTACATCGACCTATAGGTTATTCCACCTTCGGAACAAAAACGTTCATCAATTATTCTCAGAAATTCAACGGTTTTTTATGTCTTCGTAATTTAAGTTTTAAGCTTTGTTGCAATATATTGTTAGGAATATAAATTCCTAACAATATATTGCAACTGTTAGGTGTCAGCTGTCACGCAGTCGGTCAATTGTCATTGTCACGTGTACAATTCACACAGAGTAATGTCTTTTTGGCTAACTTTTATCGTAGAAATTATATATTTTAATTTAAAATTGCATAAATATATTCAAGGACTCATCACTAGCACATTTCTTTTAGCATCATTAATGATCATTATTAATTAGTGGAGTTATTTCTATAAATGCTTAGTTTTGATTGAGGTTAGAGCTTTGAAGCTTCCAATTGTCAACTTAAACTTAAAATGACTAAACTAAACCCTTCAGGAATAAAATTCTCTTTATGTATTTAAAGAAGCATCCCTTGTTCTTGTATCTGATTCTTAGGTGTTTCGTCCAGTTACGAGATATGGAAATGCAGTGTTATCCTTCTGTGAGCAAGTACTGCTACACAAGGTGGCAGCAGAACGAGAGAGGCAGCGCTCTAGGACGAATTCTAGGGTTGGAAGACGCGGAGTAAATAGGAGAAGACATGCCCATCGTGTACTGCAGCGGAGGTTTTAAGTGTAACAAGTATACCGTTGAGGATCCGGTAGAATGCAAGAGTGACCCTGGAGCCTCTCTAACGTGGCCTTGTAGGAACCTGAGGTGGTTTTAGTGGGTATTGCTCATCCAGTTTCTGTTTAGCAGAGACACTATATACCTCAGATATATTAATAAACAAAAAAAAAGTGCGTGCTTACAAAGTACACATATTGTCAGAAGTGAAACTTCTTTGGCAAACTAATTTTTAAGTCTTGTTCATATTTATACAAATCTAAAACATTAGATTTCCCAGACTTAGGGGGGGAAAAAGGAAGATATGTTAGGAATTTTATTGTCATTAAAATATTAAAGATTCGAAAATTAATACAATATAATAAAAACACGTGACATTTTAATTTACAATTCATCATTTGAGATTTCAATCAAATATTTTGCATAAAATATAAAATACAAATATTTCATAAATTCTCTTCACGAAATTTTAATTTAAAAAATAGTATTTCTATTCTTCTCACTCCCTATCAATCGCTCTCTCACTTTTCTTCGACAAAAACGCTGCACATCTTCGTGACGCTAATATTATAGCGTTTCATCCGTAAAAAATTACCCTCATGCGACTAAAGCAGTTTCACTTCAAAAAGGAGTTCTGTGCCTGTCAAACGTGAAATTTTCGTTTCTTTTTACCGAATGCCCAAGTAAAATACCGGCATTATGGCAATGTTGGGACCTTTAACCTGTTTTATAAACGTAACTGCATATAGAAAAATCT